AGTCAGGTTGATCCGTGGCATTGGAATCCCGAGAACGAGGTTTTGGCATGCATCAGGGTCTTCAGACGGTTGTCTTCCAACGAGGCAATTCCCTCAGTGGAAGTGAACCCTTGCATGGGGCCTATGAGAAGGGAGCCTGGAGGGAGGGGTCATTCCAACATCGTTGAAGACTCTAGAGCTTACACTGGTCCTCCTCCTCCTCCTCCACCTCCTCCTCCTGGTCTTCCCTCACCAGCCGCGCTCGACGCGGGTCCGCCTCCCGTCCTCTCCCTCCTCCCTCTTGCACGCCCGAGCTGGGCACTGAAAAATTCGGCACGGTGCCCAACAGCGAATACTGCCCGATCCTGGTCAAACAAGAAGGGCAAGCGCCGCTGTTATCCATTAGGCTCGTCGAGGAGGGAGAGAAGGATGATGGCGACGACAAGGCGTCGAATGAAGAGGATGACAGCGTGAATGACGGAAAGGGCAGCGAGGGGAGCACGAGGACAACGAGTAGGAAGACAATGACAAGGACGCCGAGGAAAAAATGGAGGAGGACGAGCACGAGGAGGAATGAAAAGGAGGTGGAGGAGGAGGGGAACGACGAAGGAGGATGGTGAGGAGCACGAGGAAAAGGACATCGAACAATTGGTTGGGGCGTCGTGATTTTTTCCCCACATCCAAAGTGGGGTTCTTGTTTTCTCTGCACACCCCGCGCAGGAACACTCACCCCACCCCCTCTCCTCTTCTGCTCACCCCCTCTTCTCCTCGCACTCATTCACACACACATCATCATCACTCGCACTCTCTCACACGCTCACGAACATCATCGTCATCATCGGTATCGGCATCATCCTCATTCAAACATCATCATCGCCACCACCACCCACAATCAATCATCATCCTCTTCACCACTCATCTTCACCACCACTCATCATCCTCATCCTCATCATCGTTGAGTAAAGTGTGAGGAAGTCTCAGGCGGGAGCCCCCTCCCTATGGGGCCCGCAGATCATGTTGGTAATCCGAGCGGGTCATCGGAACCCTGTAACTGTCGTCACTTTTGGGCTCCCCAGGCCTGAAAATGGAGGAAGTCTCAGGCGGGAGCCTCGTCTGTGAGTGAATTGGGAGGAAGTCTCAGGCGGGAGCTCCCTCCCTATGGGGCCCGCAGATTATGTTGGTAATCCGAGCGGGTCATCGGAACCCTGTAACTGTCGTCACTTTTGGGCTCCTCAAGCCTGAATATGGAGGAAGTCTCAGGCGGGAGCCTCGTCTGTGAGTGAATTCTGAGGAAGGCTCAAGCGGGAGCCCCCTCCTTATGGGGCCCGCAGATCATGTTGGTAATCCGAGCGGGTCATCGGAACCCTGTAACTGTCGTCACTTTTGGGCTCGTCAAGCCTGAATTTGGAGGAAGTCTCTGGCGGGAGCCTCGTCTTTGAGTGAATTGTGAAGAAGTCTCAGGCGGGAGCCCCCTCCCTATGGGGCCCGCAGATCATGTTGGTAATCCGAGCGGGTCATCGGAACCCTGTAACTGTCGTCACTTTTGGGCTCCTCAAGCCTGAATATGGAGGAAGTCTCAGGCGGGAGCCTCGTCTGTGAGTGAACTGCGAGGAAGTCTCAGGCGGGAGCCCCCTCCCTATGGGGCCCGCAGATCATGTTGGTAATCCGAGCGGGTCATCGGAACCCTGTAACTGTCGTCACTTTTGGGCTCGTCAAGCCTGAATTTGGAGGAAGTCTCTGGCGGGAGCCTCGTCTTTGAGTGAATTGTGAAGAAGTCTCAGGCGGGAGCCCCCTCCCTATGGGGCCCGCAGATCATGTTGGTAATCCGAGCGGGTCATCGGAACCCTGTAACTGTCGTCACTTTTGGGCTCCTCAAGCCTGAATATGGAGGAAGTCTCAGGCGGGAGCCTCGTCTGTGAGTGAACTGCGAGGAAGTCTCAGGCGGGAGCCCCCTCCCTATGGGGCCCGCAGATCATGTTGGTAATCCGAGCAGGTCATCCAAAACCTGTAACTGTCGTCAATGTTGGGTTCTCGCGCTGCCAGAACGCAGTTCCCAGGCCACACTTTGGATGCAACAAGGAAGTTTTTGGGCTCCTCAGGTCGCCGAGGTGCTGCGACAGGGCGCCGAAGGCGCCGACGACGACGGCCAGGCCGAGGCGCGGGCGCGGAGCTTGCTGATGTTCAGGCCCAGCGAAAGGGAGTTCACATGGCAGAGCTCGGGGGCGCACAGCGTGCGCCGCTCGGGGTTCACCCTGACGCACGCGTCCTACCTGACCTCCACGCTGTCGCAGGGCCAGACGCTGCGCAAGGGCGTCACCATCGACTGCGCGAGAGACGAGGACGCTGGCCGCACGGGCATGTCGGACGAGCAGTGGTGGCTGCACCTCTACGTCATGTTCTCCCGCGCCACGTGCATGCGGAACATGCTGATCCTGCGGCCGCCGCCGCGAGAGTTCCTGGAGTGCGGGCCGCCGGCGTCCCTGCGGAAGGCGCTCCTGGAGTTCGACAAGAGAGCGGTTTTGTCCAGGGCGGAGGCGAAGCAGCTCGCGGCAGAGCTGGGCTTCGTGCTGCCTTCCGCCTGAGCGCGGCTGCGCCTCGCTCGAAGCCCGCGGGGTTGTCCCAACGGCTTGGTCTTGCGCGCCAACGGCTCGCGGGGTTGTCCCGACAGCCTGGCCCGCGGGGTTGTCCCAACGGCTGCGCGACGTGACCAGTAGAGAACGCGCCTGTGCTGGCCGTGGCGGCGACGGCGCCGAGGAACATCGACATGCGCGCTCATGCAACAGGAAGGGGAGGAGGTGGCGGGGCGCGGAACAAACAGGGGGGCGAGGATGGGGACAACGTAAGGAGTGGAAGGGGGGCCCGCGCCAAGGCGAGAGGAATATACGCAGAAGAGACAGCCAGGACGCCTCACCAACCACGAGGACGACGGTGATGGCTTTTTCCAGATTCGCCCAGAGGATTCTTATGTGGGGTTCTTCCGTCGGAGTAATTCAAGCTATCCGGGGGCTGGTGGGGCCGTCTGGGGCTATCTTGGCGCATCCAGGGGGCCTCTAGGGGGCCTTTAGGGGTCATCTTGGGGGCTACTAGTGGAACCTTCTTGGGCTCTCTGGGCGTCGTGGGGTTCCGTGGGGGCTCTCTCGGGCCGTCTTGGCGCCGTCTTGTGCTGTATTGGGACTCTCTTGGGCCGTCTGGGGGCCTCCTGGGGTGCTCTTGGGAGCCCCTTGTGGCCCTCTTTGTGTCCTCTGGAGGGCCTTCTGGAGCTTTTTGGTGTTGTTCTTTCAAGCACTCTGGGAGCGATTCCATGATTGCTGGTTCGAAGAAGATGTCTCGAGCGAGACGGTAATTTGTCAGGAACCCGCCAGCCAGCTTCCAAGTACAATCGGCACCCCTTAATTTAGAGAACACCCTTTAGGCAGAGAAGATGCACCAAAGAACAAACGGTCAACGCCGGAACAGTCAACGCCGAAGGCGCTTCCCGTCATCCAACAGCGGTCGCTGTTTGGAAGGCAGCCTCTTCCATCCGCGGCGACACCGACAGCGATTCCTACTCGAAACGGGCAGGTACTGCTGTTGGTCTTCATCCATCTTTTCGTATCCATTTCGATCGTACCGATCCCTCCTCCTCCCTCCTCCCCCCTTTCTCCTCCCTCCGTTCTCCTCCCTCCTCATCCCTCCTCCATCCTCATCCTGCTTCCTCCTCCTCCCTCCTCCCTCGCTCCTCCTCCTCCTCCTCCTCCTCCTCCTCCTCCTCCTCCTCCTCTTCCTCCTCCTCATTCTCCATCGTCCTCCTCCATCCTCCCTCCTTTCTCCTGTTCCTCATCGCCTGCCCTCCCATCCCCCTCCCTCCTCCTCCCCCCCTCCCGCCCTGCCTCCCTCCCTGCTCCTTTTCCTCCCTCCTCCTCCCTCCTTCCTCCCTCCCTCTTCCCTCCCTCCTCCCTCCCTCCCTCCTCCCTCCCTCCTCCCTCCCTCCTCCCTGCATCGGCTATACAAAAGAGTGACCCTAGCCAAGGGTGACCTGTAGTGCGCGGACTCAGTGGGCGCAAGGTGGCCAAATCCAAGCGCGCAAGCAGCCACTGTCGCATCGCGCTCAGCGGTCGGGGGGACCCTGGCGAGCCCGCACAAAATGTCACTCCGGCGAAGACGTGCCGACGTCAAGAGCCTTACCCAGAGATCCGACGTCGTGATTTTTTCAATACGGGGTCCCTGGAAGTCTCGACCCGTTCCCAAGGACCCGTTTTTCATCCTGAGGCGGTGTTTTGAGGTCCCGGGGCCCCGCGAGGGCCCGTGGAGGCCAAAACATGCGAAAAATCTCCGTCTTGATTTGTTCCATACGTTGGATCTCTGGGTACTCCAGGTTTCGTAATAAAAGGGAGGGGGTCTGGACCCTCCGAGACAAGCCACTTCAGACCTCCCCCGTGGGAGAACCCTCCAAAACATCGTCCCCAGACCCCCCAGGCCCTCCAAGATAGCCTGGAAGAGACCCCCCCCCGAAATGAGACCCCCCTCCCTTTATTACGAAGTCTGGAGTAATCGACTCCCTCCCTCGAGGGCCACGGGCACCCAGACCCCCGACGTCATGACTTTTTCATGACGCGACCCCCAGAGGTCTGGACCCATTCCCCGGGACCGGCTTTTCCTCCTGAGGCGTTTTTTGACGGTCCCGAGGCCCGGCGAGAGCCCCCGGAGGCCGAAAGTAGCGAAAAACCTCCCGTCGTGACTTTTTCATGACCCGAGGGGGTCACTGGGGTGGCGGCGCGGGAGGCGGCCTCGAGCCTCGAGGCATCGACGCCCCGGGCCTCCTGGCCGTCGGGGGCCAGGCCTCGAGGATCGAGGCCTCCGGCATCGAGCCTCGAGGCTCGAAGAGCCCCTCGAGGCTCGAGGCGCGAGGCCCCCGGGGGCTCCCTGGCCCTCGACCCTCGAGGGCCTCGAAGCCTCGAGCCCCGAGGCCCGCGAGCTGCGAGGCCCTCGAGGGCCGAGCCTCGGGTCCCTCGAGGGCCACGGGCACGACGGCCGCGGCGGTCCCTGCAGGCTGGCGCACTGCTGCCGCAGCCCCGCCAGCTGCCTCTCGGGCCCGTCGCCGCCCGCGGCCGGGCGCTCGCCGCGGCCGGCCCTCGCGGGGCCGTCCTGCCCGCCGGAGGCTCTGAGGGCGAGGGCGGGCTCGGCGTCGCGAGGAGGGGGGCGGACGAGAGGAGGCAGGGAGGAGGAGGTGAGGAGGGAGGAGGGAGGGAGGAGGTAGGGAGGGAGGGAGGGAGGGAGGGAGGGAGGGAGGAGGGAGGAGGAGGAGAGGGGGAGGGAGAGGAGGAGGGAGGAGGGAGGAGGAGGAGAGGAGGATGAGGAGGAGGGGAGAGGAGGAGGAGGAGGAGGAGGGGAGGAGGAGAGGAAGGGGAGGAGGAGGCGGCGGAGGGAGGAGGAGGAGGAAGGAGGAGGAGGAGGAGGGGGAGGAGGAGGAGAGGAGGAGGAGGAGGAGAGGAGAGGAGTAGGAGGAGGAGGAGGAGAGGAGGAGGAGGGAGGGAGGGGAGGGAGGGGGAGAAGGGAAGAGGGAGGAGGCAGGGAGGAGGGGGGAGGACTATGAGGAGAGGAGGAGGGAGGGGAGGAGGAGGAAGAGGGGAGGAGCAGGAGGAGAGGAGGAGGAGGAGGGAGGGAGGAGCATGGAGGAGGAGGAGGAGGTAGGAAGGGGGGAGGAGTATGGGTCCTTTTTAGGTAGGGGGGAGGACTAGGAGGAGGAGGAAAAAGACCAGTGCAAACCCCAGAGTCATCAACGATGTTGGACATGTTGGAACAAAACCCTCCCTCCAAGCTCCACCTTCACAGGCCCCTGAAACGGTTCAAATCCACTGAAGGAA